ATCTTGAATAGCTCGCGCTCGCTATTAAACTACAACTACAAATTTTATTATCTATAATACTTTATTCAACAACCGATCGAATAGATGTTTATTAAAGCCATCCCAAACTCGTCCTAATTTAGTCATCAAATTAAAGAACATTCTCAAGCAAATTATCTCCACGGCCACAAGTGGGAATGGGTCACGTGACCATACCATAGCAACGGAAGGAATAGCCATGGTAACGAACCAACGTGAAATGTGATAAAATTTGGTCCTAAAACTAATATCATGTCCTGAATGTAATAACATTAAGTCCTAAATGTAATAAGCCTCCAATGAAATCGTTTGTCTCCGCCAAAGCCTAGTTGTGATAGCGGACATCCACATTGAGATGTCAAACTGACAGCTGTTGCACCAAAGAATCTTCTGACCAATAAACATGTCACATTGTGGGCTCGCTGATATCAATCAGCGTCTTTTTTATTTGCTAGACTTAAATCGAGAAGCATAGCCCATTGCAGAAACGTGAGAGGACAGGGAAAGAGTGTGGTTGTTTTCCGTTTGTTTGAAAAACTAAGATATTCAAATGAAAGATCAACTAAATTTGAGAGTCTTAAGCAATAATAGAAGTATTTAGAGGAGGAAAATGGCAAAATGACAGCTCTTCAAATATCACCTAAAATAGAGAGTTTGTATGGATTAGGTAGACAGGCCAAAACATTTTAAAGGTTTGTATGGAATTTTTGCAACTTTTGCAAGGCTCCGATTTGGACACTTTTCCGCTGAAAACTCTCAAACTTGAATGGGTAGCTTTCATACAGTAACATTTCAGTTGAAACATTTATATTTTCAATATAATCAATACAAGAAACTCGTCCCAGTTCTCTCACGTTTATGCAATGGGCTATTGGCTGCAAGCCTTTAAACTGATGAACAATTGGTGTCAAATGACTGATAACAAAACAATCAGAACGCTGACCAATTCCTTTCCATACATCGCTGGCTTAGACTCTTACATGCAAAAGATGTTAGAAAAATGAAAAATGTGATAACGTTATACTTGAGTGATCAGTGATGGAGTTTAAATAAGTCCTAAAACAAATTACATACTTTGACAAGAAAGTCTGCTGACTTGTAGGCCGGACAATTTGCAGCTCGGATATGCATATTTTGTCTTTCCTTGTCTGAATAGACCTTAGTACAAACAAACGCACTATTCAACACGAGGACTCCTGTAATATTTTATAATTCTGAAAATCGAAGATTCATATGATTCGCGACGACATTCCGATCATACTTGAGGTGTGGCGTTACAATATGAAAGTTACAAAATGAAACGAGAACCAAAGTAAGACAGAAATCTCCAATTGGCGTCGCGAAAAGTTTGCACGTGCTCATAATAAAGTTTTCCTGTTTCGGTATATTTAGTAGTTGATTAAGTAAGTTATTATTTCTTGTCGCTAACATTGATTTGTGGAATGTCAAAGGAAGTATTGATCGGCGTCGTGTAATCGAGCCTTCAAAAACAAAGATGTATTTAATCAAATAGTCCCTAGTAAAACCGCATGCATAGATTAACACTATGATTGTCGATCAACCCGATGTAACAGGAAATTAGTAGCCACGAATCATTGAAGAATGTGTAAAACAAAACTGGAATTTTGTCAAGTTAGCTTAAATTATCTTACCCTTCCGGACTTACGTATCTGGGTGTGTGTATCCGTAGCTTATAAAACATGGCATTTTTGTAACTCAAAGAAGATGGGATTGAGATAGGTCGTAGAACAGAACGTGTAATGTTGGATTGAGAAGAAAAAGGTAAAGTTAACCGAAAGTGTACAGTCCAAGTCTGCAGAACCAACGTGTGTAGAGTTTCCTTCTAACGCAAGTGAAAAATTCTGCGAAAATAGGAAACTAAGGGAAAGAAAAATACAAATAATATTAAGCTATTGTACCTAAAGGGTAGATACTCGTGCGTGAAATAAAGTTAAGTCAGAAAATGGCTATGGGTACGCTGACCACGTGTCGATTAGGAAATAGCAAAGATCTGACTTTAGCAGGCACATTTTGTTTCCTGATTCGGACCTCGAGGCAGCACTCTAGAGAGTTATTGCTTTAAAATCTTCGAATGCATTCGTGAACTTATGAAAATGGACAAAATAACAATCACTCAGAATTTTTGCACTAGTTTTTGTTGTTCTCTTGATGTTTTTGGAATCTCTATCAAAACTTTCAAATCCTCCTCGGAAACAATAAAACGCTTAAGAGGAAAAGGAATCCAAAGATTAACAATGCTTTTTAATTTGCGATGAACAAAATTGGAGCATATGAATTCCAAACTTCTCCTTTTTCAAGATAATCGCAAACTGAGACGTACATGTATTCTCTGGTTTTCTTGACAAAAGACGCCCTTGATGATGTAGTAGGTATTCCCGTTTCGGTTGGAGTTGAGTGGTAGATGGTGGTACACATCAACTTGGATGGAAGTTTGAAAAAAGCCTTTTAAAAACCATTTAATATTAATTCCCTTTTTTGTAAATATTCCTCTAAGTTTAATTTTAGATTCAAATCATATGCACCGTCGTATCTCTAATGAAATCTCATCAGTGTGAAAAACATATAAGACTGAAACAAAATAAAGGAAACATCATATAGAGTAAATTACTTATCATGCCGGAGAGTAAAAAAAATTACTTCAGAAGATTATCGAAAACATAGCACCGATCTCTGGCAGTATAACGAAAATTTCAGAGCTTGTTGATGAAGTTTTCGGTTTCAAGTACCTTTATGTCAGGGGCTGTGATTTTATTTGATAATTCCTTAAAAAACTGCGCTGACGTGGGGTCACACGTAGCCTTCCCACTTAACAAACTTTTGCCAACCAATTATCAAACTTTGCGATCTACTTTCTGTTTTACGCTGGTAAGCTATGTTTCTTTGCTGCAGTTTGCAAATGTAATATACCTTGTTTATTCCT